TCTGTTCATCCCAGCCCTGAGATTTTAGTAGCCTCTCCTTACTGGTCTTTCCCAATGATTGGAGGCTCTTTCAGGGTCAGGGAAGTGAGACCTGTTATAGTTACTTTTGGCATATCAAATATGCCACAGGGAGCTTGCCAGGCTCTGCCCATGTGGGCAGGATACTCTCAGTAGCTTGCTGGGCTCTCTGAGAGGCATATATATATATATATTTCATATTTCTCTCTATGATTTGTTGCCTACTGTCTGGATTCCATCAAACATAGTGTGGTAATTATGGAAAATGGGTAGGAAGTGTCTTATGATGTGTCGTGTGGCCGAATCTGCGCCTTATTTATTGAAATAATTAAATCCTAATTTCTCAGGGTCTGAGAAAGGGAATTTTTCAAAAGGATCCTTCTGGGCATTACCACTTGGTCTACAGATTAGGGCCAGAATTCCCCATCAATGCACAGAAGTGTCATTGTCCATCCTAAGTTTCTCTTCAAACGTCACCTTAGGCGAGAAGCAGGCCCTGTATTTTAAATAGTAGCCATGGCTGCATTTTTTTCTTCCTCTGATTTCTGTGTTTCTCTTCCTGGCACCTGTTACCAGCTGACAAGTATTTATTGTATACTTCCTATTTCCACCTCTCTATAATACCAGTTTCATGAGGATCTGGGCTTTGGGGTTTTGCTTTGTCTTTCTGGCAGCCTCATCTCTTTGTGTGTTCCTCTCCAGAGTTCCCGCATGCTGGCTATGCCTTTAGGAATGGAGGTTCCTTTAGATTCTGGGCTAGTCTCAAAGTCCTGCCTCTGGGAACTTAGTTGAAAGTTGGTCTGGCCGGGGAGGTAAAATATCTCTCCAGAAATTTCCCTCTTTTGCAGTATTAAAAATCTTTCTTTGGTTGATCCTCTGGGAACCACAAGGCAGGAACAATGGGGCTTTCTGAATAGGTGTGAAGGAGCGGGTATGAACACAGGGAATAGGATTCTAGAGAACCTTTCACTGCTCTTCGGATGCTTCATTTCCAGCCATATCTACTGGAAGATCTACAAGGACCAGTTCCTACTCTAACAAGGAATTTAGCCTTGGACTGTGCCCTGGCCCCACCCACCTCTTTTCCCTTTCCTTCTCCCAGCCTTTCACCTGCAACCCAACCTCCATCCCCCCTCCCCCTCCATTCCCCAGGAAAATAAATCTCCGGGAGGAGGCCAGGAGAGTGAGGCTCAGAGAACCCTTCTGAATAAATGTCTATATTAATGAATTATTAACTCAGCCACCCGTGACCTTAAGCCTAGAAGCAGAAGCGCCAAGGGCAGAGGAGCGCTGCTGAATCCTTTATTGGAGTCCTGTCAAAGGCAGTCGACCATTTATTCCCCGCCTCCACCAGGGGAAAAAAAATAATTCACATGAAAAGCAAACTTTTAAGTTGTGTCAAACTACATCAGCTAGGGGGTCTCCAGGTGGAGTCCCTTCTTGTCCAGCTGCTTCCTGTCACTCATTCCCTGCTCTGGTTTCCCTCTCCCCCCCCCCCCCCCGCCCCGACCCTCTGCAGAAGGTGCCATGGGCTTATTCAGAATAATTTGGGGGGCAAAAAAACTACTGGAGAAAATGATGAATTTGGATAGTTAATTTATTGATCCCAGCACCTCTTTCTACTTGTTTTATTTTAGAGGTCATTAATCAATGAAGAAAAACACCACCGTGTCCCCCCGTTTTGCATTTAATACACTCGTGATCCTTATTTATTCCTCTGCAACAAATTCCCAGCAAATATTCACCCATTGATTTGGGAGTTATGGATTTTCATAAAGGTTTGATCGGCTTCCTAAGTGGTCAAAGTGAGATTTATTTCCGAGGTTGCCCTCTAAAGAATGAGGGGAGCTCATTTGAGAGGTGCCGTGTCTCATGAGGTCTGTTGGGGGCGCCCAGCTTCTAAACTTGCTCCATTCTGTGCCCCTACCTGCTGGGATGGGCTTGACCAAGCTGCCCCTGTTGGCCTGTAACTGGGAAACCTGAGTGGTCCCTCCCTGCTAAGCAGCTCTCAGAGATGTTGGGGTTGCTCCCCCCCCCCCCCAGTGGTCTCAGAACTGCTCTGACCTTTGCCTAACCCCAATTCCTGCCTCTCATTGGGGTGGGGGGAGGCAACTCACAGTACCAGCTGGGACACTTTCCTGACCCATGAGGGAAGCATTCAGTGCCAGGTTCCATTCATCCATCCATCCTCAGGCAACTTCCCAAAGGCGTCTGGGCTTGAGCATCCCCTGGGCATTTGGGCTTGGGGTGGGGGTGGGGGAGAGGGCGTGTAGGCATGGAGGGAGATGGGGCCTCCGCCCCAGTCGCTGCTTCTCCCCTCACCCACTAAGCAAGAGAAACCAGGTCACCAACACCCCCCCCCCCCCAGCACTCCCATCTCCTCCCCACACACCCCAGAGTCTAGCTTAGAACCCAGTGGGCGGAATGTTTCCTAGGGAGTCTCATCGACCAGCGACCAGCGACCAGACCAGCGTCAGCATCTGCCTCCACTGCTCATTAATGCTTGAGTGTGGGTGAACGGGTGAACTGCCTGAGCTTCCGGAGCCTCAGAGTCCCCCTCTGTAGAGAGGGCTAAAGCCTTCTAAATTATGCCTTCTTCTGCCAGGCGCCTGGCACATTCTAAGGCTCTTAGGAACAGTTAGCTAATAGGATTAGCCGGGAACCCCCAGCAATCCCAGCCCCCACACTGTGGGTGGCAGAATGACTCTGAGCTTTAGAAAATCCCGAGATTTTCTAGTGTTTTTCTGGGTGGTGGGGGTGGGGGGCAGTATTAGGAGGGTTCTTTGAGGAAGGGGAAACAGTCCTGGGGATCTAGGCTTGTAAATCGCTGATGGACAAAAACAAGGGGTGTGGGTAGGGCTGGAGAGGTTTAGGTTTCAGGCCTTTAGTTCTCTCATTCTGCACGGAACCCCAGCGAAAGTGCGAGCAAGTGTGAATGCTCCGCTTTGGTGATCCCAGAGCCACGAAGGCGCGGCTCCTGTTTCTGTGCAATGAATGGAAAGGGGACCTGGAAGGTCAAACCTTTTCTCCCTGCCTCCTCGAGACTCCAGGTCCCGGGTCCACAGCACGAGCACTGCTCCTTGTGGTATGCTGGCCTTAAACTCCGGGCCTATCAATCTCTCCAGGGATGACTGATGGGTCTTGTCACAACAACGCCAGTCAAAATATTTTCCGTCCAACCAGCATCCAGGACGAGTCCGGCGTTGAGACATGAGATCCGGACAAAGTCTAAACAGCGCGTTTCCCAGACTCAGGAGATGAAACGGACAAAATGAGTGGCGGGAAGGCAAAATCAAGACTTTACTCCCCCCCCCCCAAAGGCTATTAATATTAATTGTTCCGAGTGGCGAGTGCTAAATAGGCTGGTATATGTGGGTGGCGGGGAGGTTGGGAAGACAAGTATCATCTCTTCCCTTTGAGGTGTGGACAGGACTGGGTTGGGGAAGTCCTGGGCTGCTCATTTTCACATGCTCGGGTCTGAACCTTCCAGCTTTGCAAATAACTGGGAGTGCGTGTCTTAAGTCTTGGACATGCAGGCACTCAAAGAGTTCAAAGGCTCCAACATGGGGGCGTCGCCCAAAGCGCCCAGTTAGGGTGGGGCTGCATTCCCACCCTGAACCTCGGTTGTGTGAGCCCCAGGGGCAGCCGAAGGCAAATCCTTCTCCCTTGCTTCCAGGAACTGCTGTACCCCTGGAGGAAGCTCTGGATACTTGCCTTGGGATGCCTACAAGGAAAGGGGAGGTGGTGGGGGAGATTGCAAGACATCTCCAGAGTGGAGGGCCTGAACCAAGGACTCTGCCGCTGCCGGTGTCCTAGCCCGGCTGGTCCTAGTTGAGTTTTGTCAGAGCCCAGCCGCCCTTTGGAGACACCCTCTTCTCACACCTCCTGCTCAGCCTCCTGCACAGTGGACCCGAACCCGGGCTTTTACTCCTGTGCTCACACCCGTCCCGCCCCGGGCCCTCTTCCCTCCCTCTCCCCTGAAGCTCTGTGTTCGTTGTGGCGTGGCCCGCAAAGCGATTCCAACACCGGGCTGGACAACTGAAAAACAAGACCCAAATCCAGAGTCAAGAGTCAGGCAAAAGCGTAAGCCCCATCCGGGACTGGGGTCCACCGGCCCCCGGGCCACGCGCTCAGGATCCAAAGCGAATGCCCGAGCGTGTGCGCGCTGGTGTCCGCTTTCCCACTGCTTTCGGGGCTCCGGCCACTAAGTCAGCACCTAGAAAAGACAGATCATGGGCAGAAAGAGACAACGGGCTAGCTGGAGACGTCACGCCTGAAAAAAAAAATAACCAAAGTGGCGGAGTGGGTGGGGAGATGTTTGTGCGGGAGAGGCGCACAGCCTGCATGTGGATCCAGCCGAGTTGGAACTTCCTTTCCCCCTCTTCCTCTCCCCTTGGTCCCCCTGGTCTGACTTTTGCCTGCTTCCCCACTCTCCCAGCACACACTCACATACACTCACGTGCACACACACACACACACACGCGCGCGCGCGCGTATTTTGTGCTGTCGTTAAACCCACGTGTCCAGACGGGAGACTGCCAGAGCGTGGAGCCGTGGAGCCTGGACGCGGCGGCGGCGGCCGAACCTAGAAGCCCACGGCGGCTCCGGCCCGCTCCCGAGTCAGTCCGCACGCCCGCGCGTTCGGCGGAATCGCGCTCTCGCCGCCCCACGGGTCCTCGCGCCCCTCACTTCGCCGCGGGGGAGAGCGACGCTCGCCTCCAGCGCTGCCCGGGAGCATGTAGCGCACCCGGGCGCACCCTCGGCCGCACGCTCCGCGAGGCGCACGCACGCACGCACGCACCCGCCCGCCCGCCGCCCTGAGTTTCCAGGTAAGCGCGGCGCGTGCAAGGGGCTGAGGGTCTGGGACCCCGGGGAGGAGAGGAGGCAGGAGGTCCCCGGGCCGGGGGGGAGGGGGGGCGGGGGACCAGACTGTCCCGCCTCCTGGCGCCGGAGGCCAGCGCGGCCCAGGCGCTGCGCCACTCGGGCACGGGTCGGCTCCGGGCGCCTGCCGGAGTGGGGGCCGCGTCCCGGGGACGAGTTGTGCTGGGGCAGCGCCCTCTGCGACCGCGCCGGCGGGGAGGTGAGGCGGGGGGCTCACGGCCACCGGGGCGCGGCGCCGCGGCTTCGGAGAAAACTTTGCGCCCCGGCGGAGTTGGGAGGCGAGAGCCGCCGCCGAACCGGGCTGCGGCCGGCGGCCCCGGACTCCGGGGGGCTCGGCGGCAGCCCTCCCCGCCCCTCCCGCCTCGGGCCTGCCCGGGCCGGCCTCACGCGGGCCCTCCTCTCTGCCCTCTGCCCTCCAGCTTGAGGCGTCGGACATGCTGAAGCCCGGGGACCCCGGCGGCTCGGCCTTTCTCAAAGTGGACCCAGCCTATCTGCAGCACTGGCAGCAACTCTTCCCGCACGGCGGCGGCGGCGGCCCGCTCAAGGGCGGCGGCACCGTGGGGCCCCTGGGCGCGCCGCAGCCCCTCCAGCCGCCGCCGCCGCCGCCGCCGCCGCCCCCCGAGCGCGCCGAGCCGCCGCCCGACAGCCTGCGCCCGCGGCCCGCCTCGCTCTCGTCGGCCGCCTCCACCCCGGCTTCCTCCTCCACCTCGGCCTCCTCTGCCTCCTCCTGCGCCGCCGCGGCCGCGGCCGCCGCTGCAGCCGCCGCGCTGGCGGGGCTGTCGGCGCTGCCCGTGGCGCAGCTGCCCGTGTTTGCGCCCCTGACCGCCGTCGCGGCGGAGCCGCTGCCTCCCAAGGACCTGTGTCTCGGGGCCGCGTCGGGCCCGGGGCCCGCCAAATGCGGCGGGGACGGCCGGGGCGCCCCTCGCTTCCGCTGCAGCGCCGAGGAACTGGACTATTACCTGTACGGCCAGCAGCGCATGGAGATCATCCCGCTCAACCAGCACACCAGCGACCCCAACAACCGTACGTAGCCGCCGCCAGTGCGCGCTCTGCCCTGCGCGGCGACCGTCGGGCGCGGGCGCCCCGCGGGGAGGCGGATCCGCAGCTGGGGTGCCGCGGGGGGATCCCGGTCCTCGGGGTGGGTTGCCCCTCCGGGTTCCCGGCTCTGCTCCGCCGCGAACGCCGGAGGCCAAAGTGACGTTAGAGAAGCAAGGAAGTGGGTAGGATACCTGGTGGTGCTGGGGAGGAGGCGGCTCGGGGTTACCCCTTCTTTCTGTCTTCTCACATGCCCCCCAAGTCTCGGGGACCTTGAAGCGGGATGGAAGGAACGTCGGGGTCTCTGATCCGGATGCGCTCGGGCAGCGCGAGGTGGGGAGGGACCCGGGGTTTCTCGGGAGCCCCGCGTTCGTTTTCTCCGTCTCTCCACCCGGCGCCTGCACTTGCCCTCGTGTGCCCGCTTTAGGGGAGCGACCGGGCCTGCTGGGGTGGAAGCTAGGGATGACAGCGGGTCGGTCCGTGTCTGCCTGCAGGCAGGCGTTATTCCCCCTCTTCTGTTTATTTAGAAAAGAAAGGGGACGCGCGGGGTGGGGTGGGGACATGCCAGCTGCTGAGCGAGGAAAAGATTTGCGGCTTCACGGCGGGTAGTTCCCCGCGGATCCCGCTTTCTCCGCGCGTCCTTAATGCTGCCAGCGGCCGTAGCTACTCTTCCTTGGTTCTTTTCAAATTAGGGTGACAGCGATTCATAGAAACAGTTTAATTCCCCTTGTCCCCGAGAAAACGGCAAATACAGATCAGGTTCCCGTCTAGCTTTGGCCGCTGTATTCATAATCTCACATTGCTTATATTAGCACAAGGACACGTCTATGTTGAGTGTTGAACGCAAATCTAAACGAAGACCAGGAAAAGTGGCCTTCTTTGTATTTCGCTTCTTTTTGGTAATTTCAGAAGTTCGATGCTGACACTGAGCGCGTTGGGGCAACTGCTTGATAAACCTCTTCCAGAGACTTCTGGAGGACACGTTGACGCAGGTTGAAAGCAGTAACCGGGACGCGAGCGATCGGCTCTCAGCTCATTTCTTAATCTTGTTCTTTCGTTTAGCTGCGGTGTGAAAAAAGTTGATTTTCAACTTTCATTATTCCCCTGTTTTGAATAATGCCCTTCTTGCTGAATGTCTGCTGCTTTGAGAACTTAATTCGTTGTAACAGAAAAATAATTCTAGGTTATAGTTATTTAAAGGAACCAAAGCTGTTGCTTGGATGGAAAATGCTGAGTTTGATTCTCATAGTTAAGGTGTATTAATCTGTTCATGATGGTTAGAAGTAATTGTTTAGATGAAGATAATTATTATCAATAAAAAAGAGGACTTATATTTACTTTTATTTCCTTTCTACAGCCTGAGGGTAAAAGCATTGGTTTAAAATTTGGGTTTCAGCTCCAATGTACTCTGCAGTTAAGAAGGTTCTTATGTTTTAACATCTATGAAAATTTTATAAAATTATGTTTTAGTGAATTTTAAAAAAACGATCTACTACCGAATTTCTTGCACAACTTCTTTTCAAGGCAGTTCTTTTAAAAATGTGAAACAAAATTATATGAAATGCTTTATGAATAAGCCATTTCTTGCATCTAAGTGCAGTATACTAATTATGGGTTGGGATTGCTTCATTAGGCTCACAATTTCTTTTCTGAATTAAATCAGTGTTGGGAAAGACGCCAGCAATGACCCCCCCCCCCCCAAAGCTCTGTTATGTGCTGAGCTGTTTACATTGAAGTCTTGAGGTTCGATACATTTTTGTCAGAGAAAAACTTAAGCTAATCACAAGGAATTGGGATAGATTCCTAATTAATATATGACTATTGACCCACTTACTGCCTGGATAACTTTTTCTCCCTCTGGTTAAAAGAAATGAATTATGGCTTATTCAAATTGTTTCTATTGTGTTAATCTTCTACTATCTCCTTTTGAGTGGACTAGAGCCTTCAGTAAGCCAAGGGGAAGGGCGATGGTGGAGGGGGGAACCAGAGGAGAAAGAAAGTCAGTTCCTCTAGTTGAAGTTACACCTCACGTTGTTCCCTCATTAAAGGGCAATTCAGAAAGAAAATAGAAAGCTGAGGTCACTCTGTGTCACGCTGCAGGGAGACCTGAGCTCCGTTCTTTCCAGAATTTCTCTGGGCCAGCACAGGCTCTTGTGTGAAACCATGGGATGGATGTGTTTTACGGAGTTGATGTGAGAAGGGCTGGCATTTACTGTAAGAGGAGAGGCGCAAAACAAATCAGAAACTCAGGACAGCGGGGAGGGTGGGTAGTGGCCGCACGATTTCTGTCCCTGTGTGGGAGGCATTGGTGTGTTCCTTAAAAAGATGGTTAACAGAACCAGAACTTCTCCCTCTTCTCATATCTTCCTACCCTCTGCTACTAGACCTTCGTTTTGTTTCTTTGTATAGTGTCATTTTCTCCTTTTTATCTTAAAAGGCCAAGACACAGATCTCGTCTTAACTGCTTTTCAGAAGACTTTTTATTTTTAATTTTATTTTTCTTAACTTTTCTGCTGTGGATTGGAAACCCAGCAACACCTGTGAGTCAGCGGGCTTCCCGTTTCACCTCCAGCTTTACGGTCCTGGATGGCAGATGCCCCAGAGAAGGCACCGGGCCTCCTGGCTCTCTTTCATTCAGGAAGATTTCCAAACCGCAGAGACTGCAAGCGAGCCGGGGTGGACCCTTCCCGGTGCTCCCTTTCCCTACCTCCACGTGTATCACTGCCGCTTTCTCCTTGATACACCCTTTCCACTGAAGCTGGGATCGCTTAGCTGCCTCCCCTTTCATCTCTGGCAGAAGGGTGGGACACTGGATAATATAAACGGGGGAGGGGCCGTCTTCCTCCCCGTGACTGCCCTCCTGGCTTGCCGGCTGCCAATTTTGCATTCGGCTCCAGCGCCGCCCGCCACCGCCCAGTGACTTCGGGCCGGCCTCTGGGAGCGGGCGCTGTTCTTGGAAGGCGCGGAGAAGCGGCCGCGGCCGAGCGTGGCCTTCCCATCAGGAAGGCAGACACGGTGCCGTCTGCCGGGCTGCGGACCGTTTCGTCTTTCCTGGCCCTTTTTCCCCACCCCTGGAGGTGTTGCTCCTTAGCGCCGAGAGGGAGGGCGCTAAGCTCCACCTGGTCTCTATTAGAAGAGTTCGGCGCGACAACTCTCTCAGCTGGAGATTCGCGGCTCCAGCATTTAGGGGAGCAGCCGGCGCTGGGAACACTTGAGCGTGCGGTGTAGGAGAAAAACCCAAGGCGCTCCAGTGAGTAGCGCCGCCTCCTCTCCTAGGGCCTGGGAGAAGAACTGGGGGAGTCAAGGCCAGATGTTGGTGGTGAAAGAGGAGAGAAGGGTGTGTGTTTTCCTCACCTGCCCTCATCTTCCTCCCCAAGGAAAGTTTGAGAACCCCTGGCCCACGACGGCTTCTTGCACTCACCGAGGCTGCCCTGCCCCTTACCCTTCCGGGGACCCTTCTACCCCGCCCCACCCCTCTCAAAAGCCCCCCACTGGGATGTCCTAGAGGGAGAAGCAGCCGGTGGTTTTTTCTTTTCCTCTTTTCTCTTTTCTTTCTTCGTGTGTGTGTGTGTGTGTGTGTGTGTGTGTGTGTGTGTGTGTGTGCAGGCTCAGCCCCAGGTCGGAACACACATGATTTAGCTATTTTACATCATTCCTTATCTAGCACCCTGAAACCCAGCATAGAGCCATATATTAGATTGAGGTTAGAAGAGGTGGCGACTGTTTATTTAAGGTGATAAAATGGTCCATCAGCAGTAATCTCCATCGATATGTGCCACCAGGAGATGAAGGATGAGGGGACAAGCCACAATTAATTGCCCTATAGTTTTGTAGGAGAGAGTGGAGCCAGCGCAGACCAGCTTCGATCTCTCGCTCGCCTCCTATTCATCATCCCCGCGGTGTATGGGGCGGCCTCGCAGGGCCAGGGGCCGGGAGGTTTATCTCGGCGCAATATTCTCTCGCCCTCACGCCGGTGCTCCCATTTAATTTATTAATACAGTCATGGGAGCAAATAAAAGCCCACGCGCCACCGCGCTGCCTCCCTCTCGGTCTGCTCTCTCTCCCTCTTCTCTCTCTCTCTCTCTCTCTCTCTCTCTCTCTCTCTCTCTCTCGGTTGAAGACAGCCAGGCTCCAGGACGGCCCCTAAAAGCCCAGCATGTCTGGGCACTTGCAGGGAAGCCTTCAACTGGGACAGAAGGAGGTGTCTAGGGAAGGGGAAGAGAGCCGGTTTGTGGCCAAGGCTCTGTTCCTGAGGCGGGGCGGGGCGGGGGAGGGGTGGCTGGACTGATGATGCCTCCTCACTCGCTCCCCATCTCACCAGGATGTTGGCTTGAGAGAGCCCCAGAGCCCCCTTGCCCAGAGGAGGAAAAGGGAAGGTGGGTATTGGGGTGCAGTAAGATGCAAATCTGCTGCAGAGTCAGAGTCTGGTTGACTTTAAAAACTCTTTGGCTGGTTGGTAGGCATGGGGCAGCCTGCAAACCTGTCAGAGAGGCTGCAGGACCACTGGCAAGGCCTCTTGGTCCACCAGCATCAGTCCTCTAACCGAGGATTCTGCAGGGAAGACGTGGGGGCTTGGGAACCCCAGTGAGTGGGGAGATGCCCTTTCAGCACACTACTCCCTGGGTGGTTTCCTCACCCCTTACAAGCTCACGTAACAGGCCAACGCATGGGCTGGACCTGCAGGACCAATGGTTTATAGCTCCGTAACTTCCACAGCCTGGCTGTGAGGCTTTCCAGTGGGTCCCCTGAGGGCCAAGTCTATGCCTAGACCTTGGGGAGCAAAGGAACACTATGGGGGAGGGTGCTAGTTGGAGTGCCCTGGCTTATCACCCTCTCATAGATTCGGAGACCACCCTCCCCACCCTCTGCCCCAGCCTCCAGCCCCTGATTTTCTAACTCACCTTTCTTAGAAGGGGCCTGCCTTGCTCCCTTTACTGCACTCAGATCCATTTTCAAAGACAAAAGTGGTCTCTGGCCTTGGAAAAACACTGAAGCATCGCACCAGGATTTGAAATGAAGCGTGAAAGCCACTTCTTATCTCCACTGGGTCTGGCCCTCTGAAGTGAGATAGTGAGCACATCTGTGAGCAAAGGTACACCTGGCCCAGACTGGCTCCTGACCTAAAGCAGGAGTATGACCAGGTCTATCAGCATCAAGAAGGGAGCAACTCTCTTATAGCCTCTGCCACTGAAACAGCATGTCTGGGTGTCTGCTTGGGGTGATAGTTCTTACTTTTCTAGAAACTCCTTTATGAACAAGATTGATGAACTTGACAAAAACTTAACCCGGGTTTGAAGAGAAAGCAGGCATATTTATCCCTCTCTGTGAACACAGATGTATTTTGTATGTCACTTGGCCAAGAATACTGTGTACATCAGACATGTTATATAGAATATGTATTTCTGTATGTTGGGGGGGCAGCTTGCCTGCATTCCCTCAAATCTGTTCCCCTCCCACTTATTTTTTTATGGTCCACTGTCTAAAAGCACTTTGCTGGACTCTTTGCCCACTTGTGTCTCCTTCATGAACTTCGAGGACTCAGCAACTTGACTTAAACACCTTCAGGCTCTTTTGGGATTTGGAGATAGAAGTCAGAAGCCCCCCTTGACCCCAGTGTTTCAGGTTAAATGTATTAGCAAACACTGTTAGTATATAACATGCATTTTGAAATGCGTATTTGGAAAGAGCATGTTGTGATTCCAGAGTGAAAATAGATCATGTTGGGTCCACCAGCTTTTGCACTCTGCTGTGGACCTGACACATGGATCAGGTATAGGAAGACTCTCTCTTAATGCTAATTAAGACTCTCTCTTAATCCCTCTGCATAATGCTACTTTGAGTTTTTTATCAATGACTCTTGGAACTCAGTCATGGTTTTATCATGCATTTTGCTGTAGGTGTGTGCCTGTTGTGGGTGAGGGTTGAGGAACACTTTGTTACTTCTGTACCGCTCCCCTCCAACCCACCACCCGTTTTTCTTTACTTTGCATTTGTTGTGGTATTGCATTCCCTTTGAGATGGTGGAAGAGGACGGATGCACTGGTGCAGACTGTTAGGGTAGTGAACACACTTGCTCCTTGCTTCTTTTGCTTTCTTTCATGGAATCAAATAGAGAGGGAAAGTCCGGTAAGCAACTTCTGGGGGTGATTTATTTTTATGGGCACGTTGCCTTTGCTTATTGTCATTTGTTTTCAGCTATTTTTTGCCCAGGTGCTGAAAGGCCATCTCTGAAGTTGGGCAGTAATATTCGACATTATGGACACTTATCTATTTGCTTTCCTAGTCATTCTCTCAAACCTCCCCAAACACAGGAGTGTGGGAATGAGGTGAAGAAATCTCTGTGATTCAGACATGCTTCAGCAACTTTTGAGGTCCCAGTACAGTTACTTCCATGAAATATTGCATGACTATTGACTGAGTTATGGCTTTGGATATGAAATTCTCTCCACTTTCATTATTCTCTCTAGACCTCTGGGTTGGAGCATTTGCTGTCAGACAGGCCTGACTGTGAATCTCTCTGCGCTTTCTAGTTTCTGTTACTGTGTCCAGTTCTGTTGTTCCTGGAATCTTAGTGACCTCATCCACAGAATGGGAATCATTATACATATATAATGTGTGGTTACTTCAGAAGAGGTCCCTGCCATGCAGGGAGCACTGGACCAGTTTTGACACTAAGTTGACTCTCAGTGATCTCCTTTGTCTTAAAAGTTTTGTTTTTTTCACAGTTAAAGGTAAAGCACAGGTGGGCAGTCCATGGGTTTTGAACAAGGTTGGAGTGCCACTCCGTCTGGGTTCTAGGTCCAGCTTTTACATGCACCCATATCCTTGGAAGGAAGGTGGTGAGGGAGGGAGCCCCAGAGGAACTGCAGAAATAGGCTGCTGTTTGAAAGGGTACACCTCTAGGAGGCTGTAGTCCGTGGATCCCTTCCTTTCCTGAGGTCTCTGTGAAAGAAGTGGCAGAGTAGATGGCCGAGGGAACGGCAGCTCAGCATGGACCCTCAGTGGGGCGGCTTCCCTCTCTCACAGAGCTGGGTTGCTCTGAGATGTTCCTTCCCCAGCGATTCTCCAGGGACTGTGTGACAAGTTCCTTGGGTGTTTCAGCTGTCTCTGCATGGAGAAAGTCCATCTGGCAGGATCCACCTGGCAGCAAGTGAGCAAGGCGAGGACAAGTCCTGGAGGACACCCTTCCCCCAGCACCTCCAGCCCCAATAGTGATCTGTCCATTGGAACTGATACCAGGCCCGGCCCTCATTATTGGGGTCCTTTGCGCATGGGTGCTGGTGGTTCCTGTGGAGACTCTCCAGCCAGGCAGGGTTGAGAAGCACTGAAGGCAGAGTCAGGTCTGCTGATCAGGACGCAGACACAGTGGCTCCGCCAGGCCCATTAATAACCCGCAGGCTCGGCCAGTGGACATAGCCTTCGCCCCAGGCCTTGTTTCCCACAGCCTCCTGTTGCCTGCTCTGGTTAGGGATGCTGGTGCTCTGCTGCTGCCCAGCTTATACTTTGGAGGTCCCCAGAAGTTCTGGCTGCTCGGGGGAACCTTCAAGAGGAGGGGATGACCTCGGGTCCATGCCTGCTGAATCGCTTTCTTGATTATTCCAGCCCTACTCTCATCCTGAATGGTGAAAATTAGCTGTTTCTTTCTTCTTAGCATCTGGGAGAGCTGGTAGCCAAGCACAGGCTCCCCAAAATTGTTGGAGCTGCCCCTCGTTCCCCACTCCTCAGTTGGAAAGTGTATGCAGGAGACACCCCAACTCTAGTGCTGCTCTCTGTGACTTGTCTTGGAAGGGGCTCCAGTCTACAGAGTGGCCCGAGCTCAGCTTTGTCTGCTGGCTGGTGCAGTAGGCTGGGCGAGTGGGGGGGAGCTGAGGGGTGACCAGTAAGGTGGAAATGTGCCTGTACCAGCCCTGTGATCCACTTGCCCTGGGGACTTTTAAAGTCTCTCCTGTAATAGCACAGTGACTGGTGTGGAATCTCTTTGAGAAATCAGAGTGGGTAAAAGAGGGACATTGGTGTGGTGCAAAGATACACTCTTGTAACTCAGGATAGTGAATAGCACCCTGGGATAGGGGAGAGGGAGAGCAAGAAGAGGAGTGAGCGGAAGGGATTATGGAGGTCAGAGGGATGCTCAGAGCCCTAGCTTCTAAGAATTGGGCCAACCATCTCCCAGCTTAGCAGGCATTTTGCAGTGGTGCATAGTTCCACCCCTGCCAGGTGGGTTGGGGGTGGTAGGGTTCACCTTTGCCCGTCCTCTCCATGGTGGCATGGTTGGTGGTTCCTGGAGGATGCTGTGCCTGGGTTTTCCCCCAGGATTCTCTGGAGCCGCGGAATTAACCCTCTCTCTTCCCTCCCTCTCACACGTCTCCAGCAGGTTGCGACATGTGTGCGGACAACCGCAACGGAGAGTGCCCCATGCATGGGCCCCTGCACTCACTGCGCAGGCTTGTGGGCACCAGCAGTGCAGCAGCCGCGGCGCCGCCTCCTGAGCTGCCGGAGTGGCTGCGGGACCTGCCGCGGGAGGTGTGCCTGTGCACCAGCACCGTGCCGGGCCTGGCCTACGGCATTTGTGCGGCCCAGAGGATCCAGCAGGGCACTTGGATCGGGCCCTTTCAGGGTGTGCTTCTGGCCCCGGAGAAGGTGCAGACAGGTGCCCTGAGGAACACGCAGCACCTCTGGGAGGTAAGTTCACAGTGGCTAAGCGCTGCGTACCTGCGGCAGAGGAGAGCCTGCCTGGCTGCCCACTGGGTTTCTGGAGAGTAGAGTTGAGTGTTCGGTTAGGGTGTGCCTACAGCAGCTCAATCAAGGTGCAGGTCCCTTTTTTCTGGTAGGCCTCCAGGTGCACCCTTGACTGTTCATCTCCTGGGATCTGAGAACAAAAGAAACAGCTGGACAGGTGGAAGCTTGGCATCTGAGTGGGGACTTGGCAGCCTCTTGTCCCATTCTAACTTTGTCCACTAGTGTTTTTTTTCTTTTGTTTTTGTTTTTTTTAATTCCTTGTACAAGAGGTGGCAGAAGTAGAGACAGGAAGAGGACAGAAACTCAGATAGTTTTCAACTAAGAGCATTTCTTAGTGAGTGTCCCATGTGGGAGAGACTGGTGTTTTGTGACTTTCAGAATGTCCAAAGTGAGCACACTATAGGGATCAGAAATCACAAATACTTCTCTGAATGGGTGCAAAACGACACTATCTTTGTGAGGATAGAAATGTAAAGACATAGGAAAACTCCCAACACTCTGGTGATAGTATTATGGTAGCAAGCTCTTACCCAATGAAGCCATTACTTCAGAACTAACCTATTTGAAAATAACACATTCACCTGAGATTTCTCCCATGGCTTCATGGTTGATAGCTGAAGCTTCTTCTTAAAGAGATAGACTCTTAGAAGGGTGATTCCACCCACCATTTTAACCCCTCCTACCCATGGATAGAGATGCATGAAAAGATAAGGTGCTGGAAACTTAAGCAACAAGGCTAAGTTGGCTAAACCAGCCTCTAAGAATCGAGTTGGAATTGGGGAAAGTCTGGCCAGTGCCAAGGACAAAGTTGGCCTGGACCTTAGGGCTTGGTTCAGGGTCATTTCTGCCTTACCAGGCCCTCACACTTGGCTCCACAACCTGTCCAGATACTCATTTCTTTGGGAGCTTCCTCATATTCATTCTCTAAGCAAAAGACCTCATGGACCCAGTCAGCTTCATCTGGGTACCCCACCCTGACTAGTCCAGTGTTCATGACAACCAGACCTGATCTCTAACACTCTTTCATGACCCTACCTGGGGTGCAGAGCTAGGCAGCTGCAGAGTTCCATTTGAGGAGCTAAGGGATCCTCACAACCCCAAAGGCTGATGGCACAGGAACCATGCCCAGCCCTTTCCCTTTGGTGCCCTGTTACCCAAACTCCTGGCCCCCAACCTGCGGACTGTTGGTAGGAAACAAATAGGAATCTTAGTCCTTAAGGGCAGTGGGCTTTGAATGGGGTAGAGGATAGTATGTATGTCGGCAACTTTTCTTCTTTTTTATGGACAATTGCATAGGGAAAATGGGCAGGAGAAAATGTGTCAGTACCACTAGGAGAGTGAGAGGTGTTTATGGATCGAAACATGGACAAGTGGAAGATCATCAGAGCATTTGGTTTTGAAATATTTCCTCATTGGGGTTTGTTCCTGATTAATTTGTTGTTACCTCCTGTGTGAATTAAGGTTCTCTAGAATCCCTTACAGGCACTTTTCATGTGCCACTGGTGCTATTAGGAACATTCAGACTGTAGAGTTAAAGGTCGGCCAGTCCTTTTCTGGGGAGATGGTAAGCGATTATTCAGTGGTGCCGGTTGGCTCTGTCTGCAGAGGTTAAAAGAAAATCCTATCTGATTCCTTCAGGCTAGTGTCTATCTATTTGTAGAGTGCCAGGGGACAAAGCATAAGCATGACAAGAAGCCCAATGGTGTGTTTTTGGCCTTTCGTTTTTTTCTGAAAGGCGTTCAAGTAGCCAGCGGTGACTGTTTCACGGGCAGATTATAGTGGTTCTGTACTTTGAAAGTGAGAGAGTTTTCCTTTCGTGTCTTGTACTTAAGGAATTTGGAATTTTGTGGCAGTGAAGAGAATGGGGGAATTAATTTGTTTTCTGTTGTTTATACTACAGTCGATGGGGGCATAGAAGTTGAGTATATTGGGGAGGGGTGCAGAGAATTCACTCTGCTTTATAAAAAGTTTTTTTTCTGTCTGATTAAATAGTCTGCAGGTACCAACTCACAGCTTTGGGACACAATTTGATAAAATTGTTATTTATAAAAACAATTGGAATAACATACCTTTAAAAGGAGAAGGGTTATTAAAAATTTATTCAGGGATCATATAAAACAGGACTGGCTGGGCTGAGTAACAGTGCCAATGTACATACAGAAGATAAGCTTCTTTCTCTATAATAGGTTTCAGACTTTATTAGTATAATTATTTCAAGATAGCGTGTGTGAGTTTATTTTTAATTTTTAATCATGATGTATTATTTTTATGAAATAATGACTATTTAAGTTGTAATTATAATGGCATATTCTAAATGTCAGAATGTTTTTAAATGATAGTCTTCCTTTTCAAACCTGAATTCTTAGTGGGAAAAAAAAAATCTAGTCGTTATTTTCTTTAGAAAGAACCAGCAATTGGAGTACACTTTATTAGTATAGGTCTAATAGGAAACTTTTGGCAATAATTGCTTAATGACTCATGTTGTAATTATCCATAAAAAAAACATTCTTTTAGATATCTTCCAGAATATCAGAACGACATAAAGCAGATCTGTAAAAATTAAAAGCAGTTGAATTATGACTATTTCATTTTAAAAGTCAGCTGTAATGGTTTTTCTTGCCCACATTTTTTAAAGTCAGTTACTGATGAAGAAATGTCTGTATATTTAGAATTCAATACTCAGGTCCTGCTGGATCTCACCCGGGTTACTTATCTTTATTTCAGTACAATAAATGGATTGCTAATCTTACCCCGTCACTGTTTCCAAGTAGATGATGGATTTTTGTTTCAGTTTACAGTTCATTGTTTTTAGTATGATTGTACTTTATTATACACATGAAGGCTTATTACAGAAACAACCAGATTCACCTTTTGTTTAATCATTAATAGTTCTGTTTTATCTGTAGAAAATGACTTGAATATATAACATTACATGAGCCATGGAGAATTTATTTGATTAGTTGATAAATATGCAACCAATTTTGTTTTCTTTGCCTATAATTTCTGCTACTTAAAATATAGTTATTTAATGAGCTTCATTATTATTCCATTACCTTCATTTTGTTTAGAATCGACTATTTTTGGGAAGTTATAGGATTTTTTCCCTTATTGTAACAATAAACTGAAGTAATTTTTATTTTGGTAGATGGAGAAAATTAACAAGCTAAAAGTCAAATTATTAGTCTGTTTGGGGGACAGTTTCTTTTGGAATCAGAATTTATATATGTTTTACAAAATGTAATAAATTTGGATAGTTTAAAATAAAAATATTAAAGTGTGTTAAATAATCACTTGCCTTGATTCTGTACATTTGTTCCAACAAGACTTAGATACATGACTTATTTTTAGTATTTGGACATAATGGGGAAAAAAAATCTTTCTGAATGTTTTGCAAAGAAAACACAGTCTTTCTCAGCAATTAGGCCTTATTGATGAGAATGAGATAATTTTATCCTAATGTGTTTTGTAGTGAAGAAGTGAAAAGGCACATTTGATTCAACTTTTATGAAAACATTATCTCAATTATTAATGTACCCTTTTTCCCTTGAGATAAATTAATCTCATTGCACACGGTTTCCCCTTTCTGCTTAGCATCAGAATTAATATGGCTAGACCTGAGGAATGTACACAGTGTATACTTACAATCTTACTGGAATAAAGTACAGAAGTTTAAAATAAAGTTGCAGTTTAAGATAGGCTAACCTTCCTCGGCCTTTCGGCTCAGAGTCTGATTAGACAAGAAATTTCAGCGACAATGACAAAATAAATTGCTCTTACTTTCACCCTCAAAAAATAATCTGGTAATTGTAATAATGTAGTGACTTGTTAGGATTACAGTCAAGGTGCTAGAAAGGGATTTAATTTTATAGGACCTGTCTTCTCTTTGCCTGAGTAAATTTGCCTCATTTTCATTTGCACTGTGTAAAAACCTTCATTATTTCTCCTCAGAAAAAGGGGATAACATGTGGTCCTTTTTGTGGTTTGGTTTTGTGCCATAATATTTTAGATTTAATAAGAGTTTTATTTTTAAGCAAATGGTCTATTTTTCATCATTACCAGTTAGCTCAGGTCAAAAGACATTAAATGAAAAGCAGTATTAAAAATATATTACACATTGGTAAATGTTTATATTTCATAGCCATCACAGGTAATTGACACTAAAGGAAATGAATTGATTTTATATTTTAAATGTGTTCTGTGTTTCTATAAATGACCCAAGTTCCATACATACACACTTGTGTATATTTAGATGTTGAAAAAAATTTAAAAGGAATCATTTCAGATTTTGTTAGAATCATTTGAAAATTAAACTGTAGTTATATAAAAATTACTTCAGTGATCATATTGCCATTATTTGCTCCATATTTTTTCTTTATAGTTTTTGGCTCATTTTAGCTCAATTCTCCAAAATACCAGGGAATCAAATTCAGTAGTCATCACAGTCATATCTAAGTAAAAATTGTGTTTCTTAGCAATTTATCTGTAAGATACTAGACTGTTTGTCAGCTTGGTTTTGAAGATGTCAATTTTGTGAAATCCAGATAATTTCACCTTAAAAATAAGCCATAGTAATGTGACTCCTGCGTTTTAAATTATGCAGAGTAACAGCTGGTGTCTCTCTCTGGCTTTGCCTCATTGGATTGGAAGATATCTTTTCGAGGGGTGCCCATTTGATAGAGTGTGAGCATTTTATAATTTTACATAAACTCTAAAACCATCTGCCACCTCTTGGAATGGTTTCCAGCATTGTGCTGAAAATTAAGACTTCATATTTAAGGGGGCTGGATAAGGTCCCTTTCAAGTCCCTGTGCTTTTCTATTTGGTGTGTCTGTATCAGAATCCTTGGCTTTCTAAAAATGACTCTGACAAAAATGACTCTGCTTTGAAAAATATGGTAACGGATGTTTGGAAGTTGTCCCATTCAGTGAGGCTTGTCCCTAGTT